TATGTATGTATGTATGTATGTATGTATGTATGTATGTATGTATGTATGTATGTATGTATGTATGTATGAAGTAGAATATCAAAAGAACATTGAAAGAAATACTAAATTTGCCTTAGTTGTGCCTTATTTGGGGGAATTTTTAGACTCTCTTTCCAGAACATGATGGTACAATATTTTGTGCTCATGTGGTTATGTATAGGTGCGCAAGACCTACACAGGACGTAGCCTCCTTCCTCGGTGCTAGAAGATTAATGACCTCCATTTTTATCCATAACTCGGAGCGTCGGGCAGGTGTCTAGATTTTTGTATATCTCTGTGTGAGTGTGTGAACTAAGACGTATGCAAATTCTGGTCGTAATCATGAGTATGTTCATTTAATTTTTTTAGCTATAATTGCATCTTTGCCAACGATGAAGTGAGGAGAAGGATTGATTGTGTTTTGTTCTACACTGCTCCATATTTCTCAAAAGATCGTTCTTGTACCAGTCTATCGATGCAAAAGTCGTTTAAAGGGACTCACGTTGGTCAGTGCAGTGGTCCTTTTTAAGAGCCATAACTATCATGTGGCTCAAATTGATTAGATGACGGGATAGGTTCGAAAATAGAGTCTAGCACAGATTAAAACGAACCTTTGGGATGCATAACGCAATGAGTTTCTGTGCGAAGTCAAGAATTCGCTTTATGCTACCTTGACTAATACCAGCATCACTACTTCTGACTCTTACGAAACTTGTGCTTACTGAAGACATTGTTATATCGCATACATGCTATTGTTTGTGTTAACTATCTTTTAAATTATGCTGCAGCAAAATTTCTGGACTTATCACTTACTAATAATGTAACTGTTCTTTTTTATAGCTGGGAATCCATGGAGACTATCGCGATGGGTCTTAAGCATTCTCGGTAAGAAACACTTCCCGTTTTCTACTTAATTAATCTTATTTTTAGTTCGTAGATATGAAGACATGGTGTGGCCTTAGGTCTGACAACAGACTTTTGAGAAACACACTTCGTTCAGCCTCTTCCACTATTTTGTCGTGGTCAATTTTATCATCTTATCTGAGAAGCTTCAACCTTGGCAGCAACCCACACACCATCGCGAAAACATTGATTGAGTTGTATTGGAACGAATGAAATGCAGAGGAGGGTTATACGGGAAAATTGATTATACGAAGTGAAGTTGATAAGAGAGAATGCAACTCTACGGGCTGGAAAATGTATCAGGAAGAGATGAAGAAAGATATTGCAAGGCTTCAGAGGAAAATGGGTAGAGGTCTTACTCTTACTTGTTACTGACAAGTTGTAGCTAGGTTTTAAGAACAGGGGTTTTCCTACCGACGATACTGACTATGGTGCAATCAAAGCGTCTGGGAATGTGCCCTGTCAACGGTCCGATAGGGAAGAAAGGCATCACCTCAACTGAGGAGGACTCAGCGCGGGCAAAGCGTTTCTACTGTTCTCTGACTAAGATCTAACGGTAGTGTCGAAACCTATTAATTATGATTATAAGTAAAGTAGTCACCTTTAATGACAATAAGCACAAGTTTACCTCATCGGCGATCCAACCAAAAATGTGATACGGGAGGAGCCTAGCTTGTTTTGTAATTCTCATTGCTCAGTAATCCTCTGGCACCCCTGACTGTCCAGTAGAATGGTAAATTGTGTCGCCACGATATAACCAAAGTTGACTTTGTTCAAATAGTAGCTGAATAAATTTAGCTGCTCAATTTCGGTGCAAATAGTTTTGACGACTATCAATAATCCTATTTATGCACTGATAGTTGACTTTTAACACAATCATATTATTAGCTCTCAGGATGTCAGTGAATTTTAAGTTTGGCAACTCATTTTCGGTGTAAGTAGTTTTTAGGAGACTAACCGTAACTCTTGAATGAGCACTTACTTACTCTGGATAGGTTAAATTGACTTAAGGACTAATAGTTAATTTTTGGCACGATCATATGAATGGATAAGGCTAAGGGAAGTGTAATGACCTTATGAGGCCCACTCTTATCATTGTGGGAAAATTTAACCATCAGCACTTAATCAACCCTGTGACTTTATCTAAGGACTTTGAAGTCCTTTCGTGAAAAGAGGTCAGACCAAATCGTATCGTTACTTTAAGACAATGTTGGATTTATTGAGTTTGTCATCTCATTTGTCATCAGCGTAATTGGTACGAGTTTGTTGATGTCTGATGGTCTCCATCGAATTTCCCGTAGTTTTCGGCAATTTGTTAGATGATTTCTATTTAGCCATTTTTCTTTACCGGCCTGCAAACCAGCATACTTTTTAGAATATATCAGGACCAAGATGTTGTGGCCTCTGTTATGGTCGCAGTCTCCTTTCGATTTATAGAAGTGGGTCGACCTCGC